GGATCTCAGACTTCTGGAGGGGATGTAGATTCGTAGTAGTGAGTGGAAGTAGGCGGGTGCTGAGCCTGTGGCTGTTCTATATGCAAGCATCAATGTCTTGAACTTGATGCTAGCCGCAACCGGTAGCCTGTTGTAGGAGATAAAGAGAGGTGTAACATGGGCTATTTTGGGCTCGTTGAAGACCAGTCGGGCCACTGCATTCTGAATCATTTGTAGAGGTTTGATTGTGCTTGATGGAAGTTCAGCCAGAAGAGCATTGAAGTACTATGTGTTGTTGGTAAAGAAGTGGAAGGAAAATCCATGGGTCCATGATGGGTCCAAGAAATGTTGTGTATATTGAGAAAAAGAAGAGGCAAAGCACTGATCATTGAATCACCACTGTGGTTTCTTTGATGTAACTTAAATACAGTTATCTTCCATGATACCGTAAAGCAGCGTTCTCCAACCCTGCTCCTGGAGAGCTACCATCCTGCAGATTTAAGGTCCTACCCAATCAAACACACCTGAATGAGCTAATCAAGGTGTTTGGGTTTAGTTGATAATTTCAGGCTGGGTTTTGGAGCAGGGCTGGAACTGAAGTCTGCAGGATGGTAGCTGTCCAGGAGCAGGGTAGAAGATCCCATTCTCTAAAGTCTAGTTTGCCTTTTTTGAGACTGTAAATCCACAAATCTTCCAATCAATCAGGAAGGTAGCTCTCCAGGAGTTGGAGATCCCTGCCCTAAAGAATCTACATGGGAGGCAGTATTCAAACCAATGGTTTCCAATGTTTCCAGTGTTGAGAAGGTTGATTGGATGATCTGTTGATTCAGTCTCAAAAGACACAAACTAGTGCAACAGAACTAGGACAGATGATCTGGAGGTATCATCATTAATTAAGTACACTTATAATGCTAATGACGTTTAATTAATTTAGTTTGAAATGACAGTATAGACCATTCTTCATGATCTCTCTGATCCCTACATTGGCTGTTTTTGCTACTGTACCTTGTAGACTTTTGTATGCAAATGACTTCTGTTATGATTGTCAGATGAATACTGTATGAGGAAGTAAAGGAAACTATCGCTTTCCATGATGTCACCTTTGAAAAGAAAAGCATTTGTTCTTTGCATGACACTCCCATTGATGTTTGTATGATTTGGGATTATTTAGTGTGAAAGTGTGTTATGCTGGAAGAGCCAAACTTGTGCTGGGTGTTAAGGGCAAAAGTTGACCTGATGATACTAACCACCTATTTATGTTTCTGCAGCCATGCCCAGATGTTTTCTGGTTCCCTGTGCTCTCGGAGAAAGCCTGTGATGAGCTGGTGAATGAGATGGAAAATCATGGTTCATGGTCTGGTGGAAAATACAAGGTCAGATAAAACCGCCAGCCTTAAAACAGTCTGCACACTTTGTATGGGGACCGGCCATGAATGAAAAAGACTTTGAAAATGTGTAAATACAAAACAGAAACAGATTTTTAGGTAACGCTTTATTTTAAGGTGTCTTTGTTACATGTTACATGTAACTACTATTATAATAACAATAAATTATGCATAATTACCTAAGCCAAACCCTAATCCTAAACATAACCATAGTAAGTACATGTAGTTAATTAATATTACTCGGTAGTTAAATGTATAATTACACTGTAACAAGGACACCTTAAAATAAAGTGTAACTGATTTTTATTCTCAATAGACAAAAATGTGTAAATATTTAGTCAGTTACATATTTTATTTTTTTCCAGTGGAAATGACCTTTTAGTAGACTTTACATAGTAGCGCAATTGCTGATAACATTTAAGTTTTTATCATTGACTGATTGCCCAGTCATTGTGTTTTCTCTTTGCAGGACAAGCGCATCACTGGAGGCTACGAGAGTGTCCCGACAGATGACATTCATATGAAACAGATCGATTTTGATAAGGAATGGCTGCACTTTATCAGAGAATTCATCTCCCCTGTCACTCTCAAGGTCTTCTCTGGCTATTATACCAAGGTGAGCCAGTCTGTATGGGTCTGGATAGAGTCATAATGAGCTGTTATATCAGAATGTCTCTCTTCTACCTCGACCGTATCTTTTTATGAAGCATTTCACCTTTTAATGTTTGCTAGGATGAATCCCAGGAAGCCTGTAAAGAACATTGTTATATTTCACCCCCAATTTAGAATATTTTAAGATTTAGGGTCATTATAATCATTAAGATCAAACGAAGCCTTTGAATCCTTTGAGTGTGGGTACATTTATTTTATTATTTTATTATTATTTGCATTTCACTGTTTTCAATATCAACCCAGTTTGAGAATCACAGAATAATTATCCACTATCATGAATCATGGTAAATGTAAGTTTACTTTTTTCAGATTTTTTTTTTCATTGGAAAATATTTTTAAACTTTTTTTTTTTCTTCTTTTTTTCACTTTGTGGGGTGAAATATGACCCAGACATGGTCTTGATTGGCTTCTTGAAGTTCATCCATTAAGTCTTGTTAATTTGACTCATGGCTTCACACACTCAAATGCAATGACTGAATCACTGAGCTGCTAAGTAGGGCATTTTTTTTTAAAAATTTTTTACAATTTGCCCAATTTAAACTAATTTTGTATTTTGTCAGCCACCGGGATGTTTTTAGTACATTACACATCTGCATGATTTCTGAAGGTTTATTACAGCAGCCAAACAAAATACAGCTTGCTAGATGAGCTTTGTTTGGTTTTTTGGTTGACATGACTCATGGAATGAGTCAAGTCATCTTTTTCTCTGTAATTTTCAACTTTCTCTCTTGCGCTGTTCTTTTAGGAGGGCTCTGTCCACTGTTAACTGGATAAGCACTGTTAGTTCTCTGGTTGATTTGACTCATGGAATGTGAACTCTGGTTAGCACTATGAGTTATTTGAGGGTCATCCATTAAAGGGATAGTAGACCCAAAAATGTAATATATGGCATTATTCACTCACTCTTTCCAAATCCATACACTTATGTTTTCAGTAGAAATCAGAAGTAGAATTTACTGTAGAACGTTCACTAAGCTCTCTTCCATACAATGGCAGTACAAAGTGAGCAAGTCTGTTAATTAAAAGTACCATATACTCCATTTAGTCCATACTGTACCATTTCAAATCTACCAAAGCCACACAATAATATTATGTGAGGAACAAAATATCCATTTTAACTATAATCTGTCGCTGTTTGGAAAAGACCTACTTGAAGATCCTTCACCAATTGTTTGTTCCACAGAAGAAAAAGTTTAAATGAAAAAAAAAAAAACTGTAACCAATCTGTCAGATACATTTGAGAGTTGGGTTTTGATTGTGTCTCCCATTTGTTTTTCTTTCAGGGTTATGCGATTATGAACTTTGTGGTGAAGTACACTCCAAACAGACAAGCCTATCTAAGACCACATCACGATTCCTCAACATTCTCCATTAATATTGCCCTCAACAACAAGGGCTTAGATTTCCAGGCAAGTTGATACACTGGCCTTACGTTTCCTAAAATAGGTTTTAAATGCATTGTAGAATCACATGTAGTTAACTCATTTTCTTCTATTTCAGGGTGGAGGCTGTCGATTCCACAGATATAACTGTTCCATAGAGTCTCCTAGAAAAGGATGGAGCTTCATGCATCCAGGTAGACTCACCCACCTTCATGAAGGACTACCTACCACCAACGGTACACGCTACATAGCAGTGTCCTTCGTAGATCCTTAGACTCACATATAGTTCTAGTAGTTCTACACTAGGAATTTACTAGCCTTGATATGTTTGTGTAGTGTCAGCTGTTTGTCTGTTTTTACTGATTTATTCTTGGATTATGTGTTGTGTGTCTGTTTGTATTTGCTGTCTTTTGAAACATTTACTACTGTTGAGAGAAAATGCTGTTCAACAGAAGTTTAGTCAAATCTTTGGATGCATTCACACAAAACACACACACGCAGGCAGAATTTCATACATATAAACCTTGTTTCATTACTCAAAATTATATGAGAGATTTGACCATGATGTTTCTATTTGGGCAAAAAAGAAAGCAGGTGAAGTCAATAACTCTTCATTTAAACAACTTTGGTTTAGGGCGTTTAGCATCAGCACTCATTCATAATAGCTGCCTTCAAGTCCTGCTAGGAAAAAAAAAATCCTGTTTACTAGTTTGGAAATTGTAATTTTGATATGCTATGCATTTAAGTGATTCTCATTGGAATAAAATGGACGCCACATTTTTCTTATATTTTAACATTCCAATAAATACAGAAATATTTTAGTGCCATTGCAACAAAATTAAGAGCAAAGGATGCACATTATTTGTGTAATTGCACTTTATTGTTGCATTTTAATCATTCTTATGTTACTGCAGAGAATGATGCAAAATTGTGCAAGCCTGTTACCCTTATAAACCCTATAAAGTATAGCTTTCTGGCCATCTTTTGGGCTATTCTTCCTCAACAGCACATTAAATGTCTAAAAACTCAAGTTTCTGTTGGGATTCTCTAACTGATAAACCCCCAACCCAATGTGCACTCAGATGCTCTAAGCTCATAAACGCAAAGAAGATTGGTAAAAAGGAAGAGGAGCTCAAATACTGTAAAATATCTAGATTTCTACAAATTGGAGAGTTGTTGGTGTCAATGACTTCAGTGGTTCCTCCGTGTCGCAGCTGACCATGTTTTTAAAAGACATGAATCCTAATTATGATAAGAAACTATGAATATGCTGTCAACAAAGTAAGTATAATTTTGTATGTTTGCACAACAAGAAACGGCAGGATTTAAAATGAATCCTAGTAGTGT